AACGGTATGCGGAAAAAACGCAAAGTGATGCCATCGTTATGCGGGGGTCCCCCTGTATATATATGTAAACATAAAATATAAGGGTGGGGTTTTAAATTTTGGGGAATCAAATTCAAAATGGGGGAAATTGGGCACAGTTTTCTTTTTTGCTTAGATACTGTGCTTATGGGGGAAATTCCCCAAAGAAAAAAAGCAAAGGTTAGTGGATGAGTTTGGGAAAAGTGTTTTAAAGGGGGAGAAAGTTGGGAAAATGAACAAAGAAAAAAAGTAAGGGATGAGGGTTTTTAAATGATTTAGATAAAGAAAAATTGGGGTAACAAATTGGGGAGGAGGAGTATGGGAAAAAGCAAAGTTTTTAGATACTTTGGGGTTGACTTCCCCGGATGGATTTTTGAAGGATGAGGTTTTAAACATAAATTTATGAGGGAAAAAAAGGGGAGTGGTTTCATTGAGGTATATGTGGAGTCAAAAAACGTTATCTAGGGGGGCAAAGAAGGGAATGTAGAAAGTTTGTAGTAAAAAACACTTTAATGGGTGTGAAGCTTGGGTGGTAAATGCAAACCCAAAGGGGGGACGGTTGGAGGGATGGAGATGCCTGTTTTAAGGGGAATGTGTGGTGTAAATATTTTTTCAGAAAATTCGGAGTGTGGAAAAATTTGGAGAAGGGGGAAATTAATAAAAAATATTAGTCAGAAATTCAAAAGAGGGGTTGTTAGGTGGTTTGGGTTTATTTAGAGAGAATGGGTCAAAGTAAAAGGGCATGGGGAAAACATATAAATCTTGGGGGAAAGGGAAAGGGGGGGTAGGGGGGCGTCCTCGAAAGGGTTTGGGGAAAAAGAGGGGGTTTAAAAGGGGGTTTTGGGGGGCAAGGGGGTTGGACTTCCAGCAAGCGGGGTGAGGGGTTAGATAGGAGTGAAAAGGGACGAATGGTATTGGGACCGACGATCTTTGGGGTGTGACAGGGTTAAAATTTAATTTAAGGGGTTTAGGGAAACCGGTTATTTTTATATATCGGAAATTTAGTCCTGGAAATGGAAGTACAATGCCTGCACTTTAAAGGAGGGGGTTTTGGGGTATTGGGAGTTTGGAGGGATAAGTTGTTTTTATCTCTAAACGTTATGCCCTTTTAGGGGCTGTTGTATTCTGACACCTCTGCAAAAGCAGTGATAATGGGGTGAGTGGGGGTGAAAAAAAGTTGAATGATGATGAAAAATATTTTCTTTTTTGGGGGTTTTTTTTCTTTTTTTTTTTGGGGCACCCTCCTCGGTGGGAAAAAGGCCCCCACTTGTTTAAAAAAAAAAAAAAAAAAAAAAATATATAAATAAAATATATTTTAATTTTAAAATATATATATATCAGGGCCCAAAAAAGTCAAAAGGGGTTTAAAAAAAATTTTTCCCAAAATTTTAAAAAAAGGGTTTAGAATGAACAACGCAGAAAATTTCTGGGACTAAAAAACCAAAACTTCTCTGTTCATCAGTCACGTCTCTAGGCCCCTGTTATAATGCTCTTGCTTTCTATTTTGAATTTTTATTCACACAAAAAATAGAAGATTTACTTTTATGCAGACTACTGCAATATTGTAATAATTGTATAAATAACGTCAACCCATTTATGACTGCGTATTAGAATGGCTAGTTGGACATTTGTCGACTCTTGAACATCGGCGAAAATCGAACATTTCTGCCACTTTGAGCTCCATTTCAAGATACTTTTCGTAGTAAAACCAATCAAAATCACTTCTATTCCTATAATATGTTTTCACTTCTATCAAATGAGACCACGAAAACAAGAATACAACCATAAATACTATACGAAAATACACCTCAAAGTCGACATTTTAATAAAAAAAACACGGTCAGTTTTTTTTTTCTCATTATACACTGCGTGCTGCAGGATTTTTTTTTTATACTGTGTACACTGACCACACAGACCCATTCTCTCACATGTGGGCCTACCAGCTTTCTCCTGCTTGATTTGAAGCTGCTAGAATTTTTGAGTATATATACGTGAAACACATTGGCTCGTAAGACGTATATATACGACCAAAACTATCAAAGGGTTAATATTTTCAAAGAGAAGCACTAAACCCATTAGGCCACAATAAACCTATCATTTCATTTCTTCACCCCCCCTTCATTCTTTCCATTGTATAATATTTTTTTTTAGGGCACGATGGTGAACGCTTCCCTTTTTTGGATGATACGAGTGTGGGATCACGTACTCACAGAATCGGAGTTTGATGTTTTTGAGTAGGCAGCAGGCCATGTAGATTGACCTTTGCTTATTTCTGCCTATTTTATAACAACAGTTTACATTTTACTCCAGCCAAGATGAGTAATAAGGCATGTGGTGATGTAAATACTAAGAGGAAGACAATTACCTTAGAAATAAAAATTATTATTATAAGGCATTCTGAGACTGGTGAAAAGATAAGTTGCACCAGTCTCACTACAGATGCTTCTATGGGGTATAGTATGAGATGACTTTCTAGTTTTCTACAGGGAATGAAAGTAATAGCAGTGAGGGCCCAATGGAAAGAGACATTTATCACTGAATGTAATAAAGGGACTGTATAGGTCACATTCATGCAACAGATTGAAAATTTCAATATGAGTCAGTAACTGTGTTTACTACCAATTATTTGTGGTATACATTACTTTGGTCTTGGCAAACAACTCTTAAATTAATATCAACTTTAGGATTAGATTAAATCTGAAAGGGGCTCAATGAATTTCCCACAGCAAAATATCTATCTGTACATTCTTATGAATGCCAATATTAACAAGATTAGGATGATATTTAAGAAAAATGGTCTGAAACAAAAAATGAGCACAACCCTGAACAGAAATTTATTAATAAGAAGACATAAATTTGTACTATTCGCAGTTTCTTAATTTGCTAGACCCTAGGAATGTAGCCCAGTGAATCTGGGTATCTGGCTATCATTGCTCCATGAGGAAAAGACAGATTTCATAAGCAAAAGGCTCACAGTTACAGAATTCAGAGAATGTACATATAGTTTCCAGAAATTTTACATTAGGTCAGGTGAGAAGGAAACCAATTTCTGAAATAGGTTATGGGCTTTCTGTATGCATAACCACATACCACATATCTCTATATAAACATTGTATCATGCAGAAATTTATCTTTGTCGTGTCTCTTTTATATAGCCAAACTAGAAATACTGTTAGGAACTAAGACTAGATCTCATGAGGTTTCACTATACGAGTGTAAATATCAGAGTAACACTTATAAGATAGGCAAGATATCAATTTTAAAAAGAAATGTATATCATTAGAGCTATGATAAAATGAAAAAAAAAAAAAATTCTGCCATATAATATGGAGCCATACATGGCAATTGAATATACGTACCTTTGTAGAGTATATATTACTTACATGTCACTTAAACGTAATACAGGCATACATTGCTAATATGGCACTTCGCTTTAGAGTGCTTCGCTAACAAGGCGCTTTCCAATTATGTTCATGTTAATTATTTTTGGCGGTGATGTGCACTTCAGTCGACAAGTGCCATTATTTTTACTTTTGCATCGTTTTTTTTAGGCTTAGCGCTAATGCCACTTAATAAACGGTAATATAAACATGATATTCTTTTACTTACACTGGCAAGTGAAAAAAGGAGGCTGAAATTAACTTTACAGCAGTGGTCTGGAACCTAACCTACCATATAAGTAAGGTATGTCTGTACAGAAATAGCAAATTTATTACTAAACTGATGAGAAATGACTGATGTTAAAAAACTACTGTAACAGATTGCAACCAGAATAAATCTTTACAGTAGACAAGAGAAAAGAACATTTAATTAACATGAAGAATAGGGGTTTACTTGTATGTGCTGTACTGGTTCTCTGTGAAGGCAAGAATTGAACTTTCTCTTTATTAACATTTTTAAGTTATTAAGTTTAAAGAACCGAAATATCTTGCTGACATACTTGTACCTCTTACATCGGGTTCAGGATTGCTTCAGCAAACTGCTGGGGATTGTTTTAGACTGATCGAGCCTCAGGCTGTTGGGAAAAAATCATTTGTAGAAAGAGCCTTTTTTTTTTACATAGCTCCTAGATTATTCAACAGATTGCCAGCACCTCTTAAGAGTCACGAATCAGTTCATGCTTTTAAGTCTCAGTTGAGAGAAAGTCTCATTTCTACACTTACGATCATCAGGATCATACTGTCACTTATGAATATTAACTCTAGTATTTCTTCCTGATCACTCTTGTTGCATTTATTGCTTGGTGTGAATGCTTGTGACTTTCTTGAAAGAATATGTCATTCAAGAATAACAAAATTCCAAATTATTATTATACATCATATGAAGGAAAGGATGAATGTATTTGTGACTATGGTTATGTGGTAGCAATAAGAGTATTGTATATGGTACTTCAACACCTATAATGACTGGGTATGGAAAGAGATTACTGCCAAGATGGAGGAACAAATGGGTGTATTACACGTAAAAAATTTATTCAATAATGATAAAAAAATCAACAAGCAAACTGAAATCATGTTATCCAGAGAAGCTTGAGCAGACACCAACTTGTTCTGTGGCCGAGCCAGAAACAGATTACAACCACAAATCTAAAGTAATCATTAACACATGGTGACCATCCAGGCTTTATGGAACTCAAAGCACTGCATATAAACTATATGTACCACACAGTCTTGAAACAAATGGAAGTGTTCAGCTTACAACTGAAACTATCAGTGGCAAGATGTGTTGGAAAGTAGTATTTCACCTGTTGCCCATGTTCATCTAGCAGTAAACAGATGCCTAGGAGTTGGTTGAATATTTGAGTTTTATCCTGGGTAAGAGAACCAAAGGTCCTCAACATAAATAAGTTACACTGCTTGATTTTCTAGGGTTGTCCCGAGTTATTAATCCAGAGAAAGGCTTTGTCAAACAAATTAGTACAAACCTTTAGACAAAGTAGATAATGAGTCTGGTTCAGGGCATTTATCAAGAAAAGCTTTTCATATTTGTCTATATTTAACTGGTAATCACAAAATATAAAGTAAACAAGCAAATGAGCATCAAAGTTATAAACCAAATTATAAAAAAAATATAAAATTAAGCACTAAACCTGAGAGCATCAAACCAATTTAAAAATACCTTAATTTCTTTAACAAGGAGCTGTTCTGCTTAAATTTAAAACTTACTAATACTGTACCTGTTTTAACAATGAACTATTGTTTGCAAATATAACTTATCAGTTTATATATCAAAACTGAGATTAACACAACATTAACCAAGAGAAAGAAGTCTTTGTCAACTGTATTCAGGTTTAGTGTGTAACTTTCATTATTTGTTTGAACTGTTTAACAATATGCATATTGAAGTATAAAAACACTTTACTCAAGTTTATAAACACATTCTTTCAATTACTTAAATAATCATGAAATTTGTTTCTTAGAAAGAACAGCTTCCATTCCTTATAAATATACACAATTTCAATTTATATATATAATGTGAACTATATAATGTAGATAATTATTTTTGTAGGGATTTCTCTCCCTGTTAGAATGACTTTTTCCCACGTTGTGGAAAGAATTCTTCTTTGAGATAGTTAAAGAATGAGAGTAATCCGTATCTCTTGCCTTTTTTGTTGAAGTATCCTGTGACAAAATCATCATCATCTGAAAAAAACAAGGTTGTAATGTTTCTTAACAGTACTGGTTACCTGATTAGCTAAAGTTTACAGTCACTTTGACAATTACCAAGTTATAAATGTGACTGACATACAACGTTCATCAAAATTAGGAGCGGTGATCACAAGAAAACTGTTCCTCATTCACCCATTAATCACATCTGCCTACAGGTGCTAGAATGTAAACAACTGCACATACCTATTGTTATTTCACAGTAACTATTTGAAATTATTTGCTTATGCTAAGAAATAGCAAAGACAAGAAGAGCAGAAAGGAAGCATAGCCTGAATATATAGAGCCAGTTTGATACTGCTTAAAAGATTCCAATTAGGATCACTGAATCAATTTAAAGTATTGATATTTACTTAAAACTGTACTATTTTCATTTAGCTAAATCTCTTTTGTATTACTGCACACTTAAAACTGTACTACTGTTCACTTAACTATCTCACTTTTGCACATTTGAAAAAAAAAAATCCTACTTAATAACCTATACCGTTCTTCAGTATTCTGCAAGTATGAGGATTAGTCTGCCCTAAATGCACCACACGCTAGTGGCTTTCTTTTGTGCTAGCAATATTTTATTATAAGTACATTTTGTATACTGCAGAAAGTAATAAAGTTGTTTTGTTTAGACAGAAAAGAAAACAAAGGGGAAGAGCAGAAAAGTGGTACAGAATTATCAAACTGGAAGAGATAATTGAAATAAACTTTATACCCAGGTACTTAAAAGCCAACTGCTGTTGCACTTCGCAGGCAACCTCTTTCAAGAGTGCCACGACAAACTGTTTCACTAATTAAAGATAAAGATAAGATTTTATTTCTTTGCAATGTTTACAATGTGCGATTACAATTTAGATTTGTTAAGTATAAAGAAAGCCACTATCATGCCGGGGTATTTTGGGCAGACTAAACCTAATGCTCACAGATTACTTAATACTAGTGATTTTGAGAGGAGTAAATTTTTACTATACCGCAGGGCCCTGCTTTACAGCGTTTTTAATTACAGCGTTCTGCTAATACGGACATTTCAAATTATGACCAAAACTCTCTATACGGCTTCCCCGCCTGATTTTCCAATACGGTCACCACGAGCCACCCGGTTTGTTTAGATTCTCTGTGAGCACGACTCTCCATTATGTCTGGAAACTTTCCAAAATATCAAGAAGTTATTTCATATTTTATATATACAGTATTCTGATAATTATACTTATGTGTCCCTGTACTTAAATAACCTTACACACTGTGCTGGCATGCAGGTACATATTAAAATCACTAAGAGTGTCTTATTAGTCATGAAGATGCCATATTAATAATGATACTAATAATAACACAATAATAATCACTCTGATGCGCATTAACCCTTAAACTGTCCAAACGTAGATCTACGTTTTTTCAACATTTGAAAGTATGTAAAAAAGTAGATCTTTTCTTTTTTTACATTTGAAAAAAGTGTTAAAAAAACTTTGATCTATGTTTTTTTATTGATGATGAAAGTTAAGACACTTGTGCAACATCTGGTTATCTTTATTGTAGATGTTTCGCCATCCAGTGGCTTTATCAATACAGATTCTTGGACATAATAAGAAATCACAAGTTTTTTTTTTTTGTTACACAGTATTTGAAAATATGTAAAAAAACATAGGTCTACTTTTGGAGCACTAAGCATGTGAACATAGATCTGCTTGGACAGTAAGGATTAACTGTTGAATATTATGTTCATATAGAATTTTTTTTTTTTTTTTTTTTTTTCAACAAGTCGGCCGTCTCCCACCGAGGCAGGGTGACCCAAAAAAGAAAGAAAATCCCCAAAAAGAAAATACTTTCATCATCATTCAACACTTTCACCACACTCACACATTATCACTGTTTTTGCAGAGGTGCTCAGAATACAACAGTCTAGAAGCATACACATATAAAGATACACAACATATCCCTCCAAACTGCCAATATCCCAAACCCCTCCTTTAAAGTGCAGGCATTGTACTTCCCATTTCCAGGACTCAAGTCCGACTATATGAAAATAACCGGTTTCCCTGAATCCCTTCACTAAATATTACCCTGCTCACACTCCAACAGATCGTCAGGTCCCAAGTACCATTCGTCTCCATTCACTCCTATCTAACACGCTCACGCACGCTTGCTGGAAGTCCAAGCCCTTATCCACAAAACCTCCTTTACCCCCTCTCTCCAACCCTTTCGAGGACGACCCCTACCCTGCCTTCCTTCCCCTATAGATTTATATGCTTTCCATGTCATTCTACTTTGATCCATTCTCTCTAAATGACCAAACCACCTCAACAACCCCTCTTCTGCCCTCTGACTAATACTTTTATTAACTCCACACCTTCTCCTAATTTCCACACTCCGAATTTTCTGCATAATATTTACACCACACATTGCCCTTAAACAGGACATCTCCACTGCCTCCAACCGTCTCCTCGCTGCTGCATTTACCACCCAAGCTTCACACCCATATAAGAGTGTTGGTACTACTATACTTTCATACATTCCCTTCTTTGCCTCCATAGATAACGTTTTTTGACTCCACATATACCTCAACGCACCACTCACCTTTTTTCCCTCATCAATTCTATGATTAACCTCATCCTTCATAAATCCATCCGCCGACACGTCAACTCCCAAGTATCTGAAAACATTCACTTCTTCCATACTCCTCCTCCCCAATTTGATATCCAATTTTTCTTTATCTAAATCATTTGACACCCTCATCACCTTACTCTTTTCTATGTTCACTTTCAACTTTCTACCTTTACACACATTCCCAAACTCATCCACTAACCTTTGCAATTTTTCTTTAGAATCTCCCATAAGCACAGTATCATCAGCAAAAAGTAACTGTGTCAATTCCCATTTTGAATTTGATTCCCCATATAGACATTCTGATTAATCCATCTGACATTTTTTCAAAATTATATAATAAACATGCTACGTAACATATAACATGATAAATACACCCCACAGTAGAATAAATTAACATAAATATTAGATGTTTTTCTAGCCGTCTTGCCGGAGTGTTGGAAAGAATAATGTTTCCTATAGTTCAATAACAAAGAAAATATGTACACAATAGTATTACACAGGGTAATTATAGAAAATTATTCCTTCTGTATGCCTTCACTCAGAGTGTCATTCTTTCTTGAAATGGTGTGTTACATGAGAATGGGGGTGTTGTTCTTCATTTATTCTACTTTACCAATGTGGAGACAACTTGTACACAATGTAAGGTGTTTGTATTGTGATATAAGCTTCACAGACATGGAAATGAACGTATATCAACCAGATGCATTTGTCTGCTAGTTTACATACTCTGCGTCTCTGTTCTCTCTCATTTACTCATTCTCTTTCTCATTTATTTGTTTTTATTTTGTTTACTCACCTCTCACTCTACATTAAGACTACAAGGTAAGTAATGAGTGCACTGAATATGCACTTTATTGCTCTAGGGCATTTTAAATGTCATATTGGGTGGGGTGGCTAGGCAGGCTACCATACCTGACTTTCTACAAATAAATACTATTCACCTCTCACCCTACATTAACACTACAAATCTTTTAAGGTAAGTACTGATTGTCCTGTAAATGCATTTTATTGCTCTAGGGTGCTCTAAATGGAGTAGTATACTGTATTATGTGTATAGGAGGGGGGAGGGGTTGGCCAGCAGAGCTACCCTACCTAACATGTCTGACTTCTTACAATAAATACTATTCACCTCTCACCCTACATTAAAACTAAAAATATTTTGAGGTAAGCAATGTGTGTACTGTATGTGTATTTTACTTTTTTTTTTTGTTTTTGAATGCCTAGTTCTAATGCTAACTTAATACAGTAGACCCTTAGTTTTTGTAATTAATCTGTTCCAGAAAGGTGGCCGAAAGCCGAAATGGCCAAAAACTGAGGTAACATTTCCCATAAGAAATAATGTCAATCCAATTAATCTCTTTCCAAACACCTAAAAATATTAACAAAAAATACATTTCATAGAGAATAACTATAGTGTTACATACAGAAAACAATGAGGAAATAAATATAAATGACTAATTTTAATGATAAATTAACATTACATACCTTTATTGAAGACTCTTGTTGGTGAGTAGTATTTATTTGTAGTCCCAGAGGGACTACATCCCAGGCTATACCTACCGGCTACATACACTGCAGCCCAGCCATATTATTACCATCGACATACCAAGTTCACCGAGTTTAATCGTTTCTAACAACTACCTTAGATGCCATCCGAGAATTGTAAACAAAAGCTTATGTATAAAGGGTGGTGCAGATTCATACAGTTTTCTCTAATGTTGGACCAGAGAAAACGTAATGTTTACCCTCCACCGCATATAAACATTGCATGTTTACATGCTTTGTAATGTGTTTCTTACACAATTTTGAAAAAAATATCATAGATGGATTAATGAAAATGTCTATATTAACCTAAAATGAGACATTTAATGTGCCCAAGAGTGAGTCTTGAATGTACGAGTGACCCAGGCGTACGCGTCTGGTACCAATGATTTCTGAGGGGATGTACGAAACCCGAGGGGAAATTCCACCGAAAAAAAAGTGCTCAAAATCCGAATTGTATGGTTTTCGCACTGGCTGAAAACTGGGGGTCCACTGTATATGTTAGTGTAAACTTGTTATCTGGCATTTACAGTGGACCCTCGGTTATTGGCTGTAAGCCGTTCCAGAAGCTTGGCCTAAATAATATTTCCCATAAGAATTAATGGAAATACAATTAATCCGTTCCAGACAAAAATATTCACACACAAAAAAAAATTATATAAGTATTACATACCTTTATTGAAGACTAATGCTGGTTTCTGGAAGATAGAGAGGAGGAAAGAGGGAGGAGTTAGTGTTTGGAAGGGGAATCTCCCTCCATAAGGACTTCAGGTACCAAGTCCTTATCTGGGGTTACTTCCCTCCTTTGTTTTTTATGCTACTAGGACCAGCTTGAGAGTCAC